CTTTTTTGCTTTCTGCTTGTTTGCTTTTGGCTTTTGGCTTGCTTTCCATGGCTTTTGGTGGTATTTTTAGTATGTCAAACTTGCACATTTTTCAATACACTAGTTTGAATCGACTATATTCATATATATATATTTATGTTTAAATTAAAATCATAATATATATATATTTACATATATATATGTATATGTATATATATATATGTATATATATATATGCATTTATATACACACTTGTATATTTATATCTAGATATATTTATATTATTTATATTTTCTACTTATATATATTTTTTTATATATACATATTATTACTATTTATGTTCAAATTCAAATATATATATATATTTACACATATATATATATTTACATATATATATATATTTACATATATATTTTTATTTACATATATATGTATATATATATTTACATATATATATATTTACATATATATATACATATATATGTAAATATATTTATATATTTATATTTATGCATGTATATATAGCCTATATATACACTTAAATAAATATTATATTGATATATTTATATTTACATATTCATATTGATATTTTATATATTTATATTTATATTTATATATTTATTTTTATATATTTATATTTACATAAATATATATTTATGTACCTATATATATATACATTCATATGTATATACATATAAATCATATAAATGTATATATATATAAAGAAGTATGTATCTATAAGTATATGTACTGTATTCCACATGTTTCCAGGGTGCATGTCGTGTAGTCTATACACCTTGAGTATCACATTCAACCCAGCACCTTGCATGTAAAATAGGTGTTTCCAATCTGCTTTGGCGGGGAGGCGCTGCGCCCTCCCCCCAATCCCCCCCCTCCCGCTTTTTTTAATTATTTAAATTCAAACTTGCACACTTTTCAATACACTTGTTTGATTCGACTATATTAATATTTTGTTAAAAATTATATATATATATCTAGACATATATATATATAGACACACGTATACATATATATATATATGTATATGTATATGTATATATTTGCATTTATATATACACTTATATTTATATATATTAATGTACTTATATAAATGTATATATATATACATACATATTAATATGTATATACATATCAATGTATATATATTTATATAATTATATAACTATAAGTATATATATATATTATAAATACACATACATATTTACTTATAGATATACAGACGTATACACATATATATATATGACATATTTGTGGTTGTTTTTATACACAACTTTGATCCCAACATAAACAACAAATAATCATGTAATTATACCTAATTAGATGTTGTATCCCTAAACCCTAAACCACACCCTGCATATACATACATACATGCATGCATGCATACATACCTACCTACCTACCTACCTACGTACATACATACATACATACATATCTATATATATATATATAGATTGATTGATTGAAGAAAACCAAAGAAACCTTGCAGAAAACGATGGAAAATTGAAGAAAACCATGGAACAATTGAAGAACACTATGGAAAAATTGAAGAAAACCATGGAAAACTTGCAGAAAACCATTGGAAAACCATGGAAAAATTGAAGAAAACCCGGGAAAAATTGAAGAAACCAATGGAACAATTGAAGAACACCATGGAAAACTTGCAGAAAACAATGGAAAATTGAAGAAAACCATGGAAAATTGAAGAAAACCATGGAACAATTGAAGAAAACTATGGAAACATTGAAGAAAACCATGGAAAAATTGAAGAAAACCATGGAAAAATTGAAGAGGCACGAACCCCAAAAAAAATTCCAAAACTGTAAAAAAAAATACCAAAAACAATTCTGCACCCTTATATATGTATATATATATACACATATATATATATATATATTAGTAATAATAGTAATAGTTGTAATCCATCAATTCTCAAGTGAGTGAATGTCCGTGTGCATCAGGTTGGACGGAGACATTTATTCCCTCAGAGTCCCAAACTGGAACATTTTACAGGAACCCCAAGGCTTGTGCTGAAAAAAGCCATGATATCCTTCTTCATTTCTCCCTTCCATTTTTTTTTCACTAGAGGTTATCCCATATATATAATTTATTAATCTCCAATTTTGAATGGTTATTATTGACTGTAACTGTAGCACTACCGTAGGACGATGAAATCAAACCCCTGCTGTGTTGTCGTCGCCCCTGCAACCCCAAATTTCAATGTTGCTTTTTGGGCTGCGCGTTTGGGGCCGGTGGACAAAAAAATCAAACCCTAACGCGGAGGAAGCTATATAGAGCTTTGTGCAACATTGAAATTTTGGGCCTGGGGGTTTACTTGGTAGGCGTCTGTAGGGTTTGATCTTTTTGTCCATCTACTGTAGTAACCCCCAAAACGATAGAGTTTGGAAATTCCTCACGATTTTCCAAGCAGATTTGACCAACTTCTATCTAATTGCTAAGGGAGTTGCAAAAATATCAATTAGATTGGGGATGGTAGAAAGAATCTACATGCAATCCCCAAAAGTGCATCTAAAGTATATTGCATATGTATTATTATCATTATATATATATACACACTGTATAATATATATATACACACTGTATGATAATATACATTATGTATATATATACATATACACACTGTATAACATATATACATATTATCTATAATATATACATATGTTACTAAGATCCCTGGGTACCTATCGAGTTCCCATCTCTTCAACGAAACCACAACGTGCGTTCGAAAAAAACCAGGAGATCCTCCAGAGGCGCTCCGACGGTAAAACCAGGTCTTCAACGGTCGATGGTTTTTTTGCAACAGAAAACCATGGCTTAAAATAGGAAAACCATAGGAAAACCATAGGAAAATGGTGATTTTCCATGGGATTTATGGTGGTTTAATGGAATCTAATGGGATTTACCCGGCCTGGTAAACATACCAAAAACTATGGAAAGATCCACCATGCGAAAAAAATGGGTAAATCAGCTATTTCGACTGGGCCATCAAAGTAATAGTTATGTTAGTTTACCAGAGGGTAATCATCTATAAATGGGATGAGAATGGCAACTTTACAATTTAGAATGTCACACTAGAAAATATATAACAATGGAATGGGATAGCAGCTACAGTAATACCCGAAACGGTGTCATCAAACATGGTTTGCTGGAAAATGCCTCCTTCATTTCGATGATTTTCGCGAAATAAAGCTCCATTTTGTTCGCAAAAGGTTTGATCAGAGAAATCCCACGATATCCCCATCCAAAATCATCCAAAATCATCCAAAATCATCCAAAATCATCCAAAATCATCCAAAATCATCCAAAATCATCCAAAATCCTGCCCTGACATATCGACGGAGCTACAGGCTGCAGTGAAAGACTGAGCGACTGAGCGCAGCGAAGAAAAATCGGAAGGCTCTGAAGGATTGGAACATGACCTGGAAATGATTGATGCAGCATTTTTATGACCTGGAAATATGGAGGATTAAGCATTGCAAATCTGAGTTATTATTTCTGAATGATTGTTGTTCTGCCTGGGACAGTTCTTCACCTACAAACAACTAGCATTTGCTGTATACTTGTGGGGAGTTCTTGACACACCATGTTGAACGCACAGATAGGCATTTGGTACAAAGCATACCCAAATATGTTGAACCGTGATTGTCATTTTATCGACAGCTTTACGATGTGAAAAGCGATGAGGCTGATTTGACCCAAAAACATAAAGATGTATAAAACTGGTTTAGGAACAAACCACAACATCTATAGCTAGACCGCCATACATATCTGGCATTGGCCAAACAAAAAGAAACAGCAATGCTCGGATATTTCGCCATCCAACAGCTGTGCACTTTTAAGAACAAGATCCATATTATTAAACCTCTGTATCATGATAGATCAAGTATGACCATACCTATGACCATAATACTATCCATATTTCATCATTTGTTGGGCCAGTGATTTTCACATTTCGAGCTGTAGCGACTATATGACACACAAGAGGCCGCAGTACCCTTACTCAAACTTTGAAAGGATGGACTGACCATGAAAACAACACATGTTTAGCCGTTTGTCATAGAAGTTCGTAATATATATAGAATATATATATTAATAGTTCTTAATAGTTTACGAAAGTAAGCTGAGCAGTCGAATTCATCTCATGTTGGTTGATTCTGGGGCGATCATGTGAAAATTATCAACAATGATAATTGAATTGGGAAATTCTTGGTTATTAAGTCACATGATTACTGAAGTCACATGATCCAATTATCCAATGATCCAATGATCACCATGGGGAGATCCCATGGTTTCCGGTGTGGGTGCAGGTGACCGAATACGTTGGCGACCGGGTCGCAACCCAAGAAAATTACCAATTTCAAAGGAATTTCTATAGTGTATATATATATAGATATTAATAGTAGATATTAATTGTTTCCTATTAGCCTATTTGCTACAGAATGCAGCGTTTGATACCTAGATCTTCACTTGGCTATGGATCAATACCTATTAATACCATTTTTAGGGGGATGAACATCCATTTACCAGCTATTTTGATGTTCACCAGGGGTACAAGGTTTTGACACACTACCACTTTTCTTCCGGTCTTTGGGGTCTCCTAACGGTCCCCATCGAAGCCCTTTTCGGATTTTTCGGTTGTGAAACAACAGAGATGGGGAGGTTCCACAACCATCCGTTCCCCATACCTGTACGATATAATATAAAGTATGTAATTATAGAGTAAACCTTGATAATAAGTAGACCCAGTGGGGCACCCTCAGAACCAGTGCCCCAAAAAAGACAGTTGTCCCAAAATCGATTCAACATAATGATTTGGACACATCAATTGGGGAAAAGCACATCATCAACACTCATGGAATATGGAAAAAAAACCATGAAACATTAAGCATACATGAAAAGCCGTGAAGCAACTCATGAAAAAAACATGGGTTTTCTCTTTTTTTTTTGCGTGTGTGTGTTTCTTAGCAAACCCATTGGACCCCATGTGGCGGGCCCGGGCCCTGCGCGCCCTGCACGCCCTGCGGCCTGGCCTTCTGCCGTTGGGAGGTGCTGACAGCATGGCTAGAGGTCAAGACACAACGGAAACTGGCGATGAACATCCATAAGCCCCAGCTATTTTGGGGGTGAACAGAAGGACGGATTCTAAGACTTGAGAAATGGATCAAAGTCATGGACGGATTCATGGAAATCACTCTATAATTATATATGTAATGTATAATATATATATATATATACCAGTAGTACCGCACAAGGCGGTGGCGGAAGTTTCAAAAATAGGAAACCATGAGGAGAGTTTGGTTGTTGTGAATCCGGGATGGCAGAGCGAAGCCACTGATGGACTGAAAGGTGCTTGATCTCTCTCACTCTTTCTCTCTCTTTCTCTGACTATCTACCTACCTACCTACCTATTTTCTATGTATCTATCTATATCTATCTATATCTATCTATATCTATCTATATCTATCTATATCTATCTATATCTATCTATATCTATCTATATCTATCTATATCTATCTATATCTATCTATATCTATCTAGATCTATCTATATCTATCTATATCTATCTATATCTATCTATATCTATCTATATCTATCTATATCTATCTATATCTATCTATATCTATCTATATCTATCTATATCTATCTATATCTATCTATATCTATCTATATCTATCTATATCTATCGATCTATATCTATCTATATCTATCGATCTATCTATCTATCTATCTATCTATCGATCTTCTAGTGTAGTGTAATGTAGTGTAATTTAGTGTAGCGGTGTGTAGTGGAGTGTAGTGGAGTGTAGTGGAGTGTAGTTGTGTAGTTCTGTAGTTGTAGTTGTAGTGTTGTGGAGTGTAGTGTAGTGTAATGTACTGTAGTGTGTGGAGTGTATAGTGTAGTGTAATGTAGTGTAGTGTAGTGGAGTGTATAGTGTAGTGTAATGTAGTGTAGTGTAGTGGAGTGTGGTGTAATGTGGCGTAGTGTATTGTAATTTAATGTAGTGGAGTGTAGTGGAGTGTAGTGGAGTGTAGTGGAGTGTAGTTGTGTAGTTCTGTAGTTGTAGTTGTAGTGTTGTGGAGTGTAGTGTAGTGTAATGTACTGTAGTGTAGTGGAGTGTATAGTGTAGTGTAATGACCCGAAGCGAAGCGACATCTGAACCTCCAAAAGTGGTCCGAACCCCTAGTGTTTTGCACATTTTGACTTCGAAATGTGCTTCGCGCCACAACGGCGTGCACTTTTTCGAGATCTGAACCTCCAAAAGTGGCGCGAACATGTGGTGTTTTGTACATTTTGACTTCGAAATGTGCTTCGCGCCACAACAGCGTGCACTTTTTCGAGATCTGAACCTCCAAAAGTGGCGCGAACATGTGGTGTTTTGTACATTTTGACTTCGAAATGTTCTTCGCGCCACAACGGCGTGCACTTTTTTGACATCTCAACTTCCAAAAGTGGTCCGAACCCCTCAGTTTTTAACACATTTTACTTCCAAATGTGCTTCGCGCCACAACGGTGTGCAACTTTTCATCTCTCATCTCCCCAGATGTCTCCGCACCCGCCGCTTTAGCGAGCCTACTTTTCAACCCTCCGGAGCCACAAAACCACGAAAAAACACTGTGTTTCGCGACTTTCCTACCTTTTCGCGCGCCTGCATCTTCTTTCTTCTGATCTTTTCTCTTCTGACTCTTCTCCCTGCTGACTGCTTTTTCATCTCTCCATATTGTCGGAAGTTTGACTTCCAAACTTCCTTCGATAATGATATAGTCAAAGCATGTCCAGCAATGACAACTTGGAATCTTTGGAGCCACGGCCACAGAAAATGAGAGGCTCGGCGCTGAGCCTCACTGGAGACCCCGAAACTTTCTTCCGCATCAAATGAAGAATGATGTTTTATATACACAATCTGTAAACATGTATAGATACAGTAGATATATACATTGTATACACAAGAAATACACATCAGAAAGTATCATATAAATAATCTTATATGATATATAGTAAGTCTGAAAAGAGATAGACTCGTGATTTATCACTGTTTTAACGGGCTCTTACTTTTTACTTTTTGGGTGCTGTAACGACACTGCTACTGTAACGATGAGACTACCTTCATCCAGGCCTTGGCGCGCAGCCTGATGGTCAATGATAGTCACCTTTCATGACCATGGTATATATAGGGGCTTATACTAACATGTACTAACCAATGATACTGATGTGTATATATCTACAATCATTTGTATATACCATATATATATACATATAAATAAACTATACACACCGAATTTAGCCCGTTGTAGCTGGGGTCTTTGGAGCCCATTGCAGGCCGCGGTTACTCCGGGGTCTCCCGGGTGAGCCAGGCGGGGGGATAGCCGCTATAGGAGGTGATTGATGAACATGTTTCAATGTTTTTTAGATATGTTGTATATATAATATATGTTCCAAACATTTTATACTATATTATATCATATTATATCATATTGTATTATACTGATAATGTTTCTTAGTACCAACGGTAACTTTGATTTGGTTGCTAGATTATGTTTTCGCTCCGATGATCCTTGCATTTTATTCTTGCCAAAAAAAAATGACCCTAGGGCAAACTAACGTAGATATGGAAAAACAAACATTTGTAGATCATTGTCCACGGGGTTCCCCATGGGATTCCCACATCTAAGTTAGTTTACCCTAGGTGGTATAATATTTTCACGGCATCTTCCACATTTATTTCCCCATTGAAAACGGGTTTTCAACCTTGGATAGGTCAGTCCAACTGCTTCCTGACTTCTTCTTGGATGGGGAAGTATTGACACAAGCATTTATGATAATGTGGGTAACACAGTGCCATAAACCCTACCCCAGTCATCACCATTTTGATAGGTCGTATGTTTACCATTCCCAGCCATGGGTGGTTTATTGTTTTACCCACATTATCATAATTTAACCTTACAAAAATATTTTCATTTATCGATAGATATCCCTATTTATTATAACTTAGCATAACTCAACCTAACGATATATAACCATGTATAATATCCCCATTTATAGATATTTCTAGTTTAACCCTTGTCAATGGACGCAGGTGGAAGCCTCCTGCAACACCCCTGCGGCTCTGGCGGCGGTGCTGCTGCTGCCCATGGGTTTTTGGTATTGGAGGCGACGTGCCACGAACAAAAATCATGGGATATGTAGAAAAGACTCCAGTTACACCGTGGGCCCAGAGAGATGTTTGAAAAAGTATGTTTCGGCTATGTGTTGCGTTTTTCGACATTTTGACATATTTTGACACTTGATGTGAGGTAAAGAGTCTATGGTTTCCTGCAATCTTTCCCTTGCATCAATCTATGGACAATGGAATATCATTGAACATGGAGAATCTGGCTCTAAGTCAAAATTTCAGGCATACGACTAGGACCGCAGATGTTTACATTTAGACTATGAACCATCCAGATTTGGGGGGCACCAAAACTGCAGTTGATTTGCGATGTTTAATGGGTATGTTTTTTTTTGAGGGGCCTCCCAGATATTTCAGCCATTTTGATCCATTTTGTTGGGTTAAACGGGTTAAACATCACTTGAAAAGGTCTTGCAATATCAATCATTATCACGTTAATTATCCCAATATTCCAAAATCCCAAACCATATCAATGAGTAGCGATAAAGTCACTTGAAAAGCCTTGGGACGGTTATCCATAGTTGTTAATGTCATCAAAAGTTAACATCGTTGTGTGGAACGCATGGATTCCCACTTCAGATCACATATTGTTAGTGGTTGCATGAGCACCCTAATGTCGATCACGAGGTGTATGAAGTACCAAGGAAAGTCTTATAGATTTACCATGAGTTACCAACGAATATGCATATATATATTTATCATTCATGTTCTGCATTTATTTATTATATATAGATATATCTATCCATTGATTTATTTATTTATTATTTATTATCTATTTATATTGTTGACATGTAATTCCTACCTCAGTTCATGGTTTGAACATGTTTGAAAGCCACTATGATAAGAATTCTCTCCAGCTGCCAGCGTCAGCCACGGCCATACTGACAGCTCTGGCAGGCAGCCAGCAGAGTTGCCAATGCCCAAGGCATTGCAGGCCCCAGCCATGGCCGAAAAAGACCGACGCCGCAGATGGGGAGCTGATCTGTCGATTCCTGAAGTTATGGATGTTATGGCGAAGATTGGGGAAGATATGGGATGATGATGGTGATGATGATCATTGATGATCAATTCTAATCATATCATTTTTCCGACAAACCCGTTGGATATCATTGCATTGAAGGAGGTCAAACAAGTTGGCGAAACAAAAACACCACGAAGGCGTCCACGTTCCATGCAACGGCGATCTCGACATATCTCGACAGCACATCCGTTGTGCAACCATGACGATTCCCATAGCGACGCGGCGAAGCAAATAGCAGCACCAACAGGTTGAGCAAAGTACTATAAGGATTAGTTGTTTGCGTCTTCACCTGACTTTTTAAAAGCCCAACCAACTAGAAACGACAAATCAGGGGGTTCACACAGTTCACAGCCCAAACAAACACCAAACCATTCTCTCAACGCTCCAACAGCGGCTCGATTTTTGTTGCGACGTCCGAGTCTGCAGAGAAAGTGAATTCGTAACGGGGCGACGTTTGGCAGACACGTTTAGCTTCGAACATAGATGCAACATGATGCAAAACAGAGGTGCAAACTGACGAACAACTTTTGATATATCAACCACGAACGATGTCCCAGCCCGACCGCGGCCGAGTTTGAGCGAAAGATCGAGGAATCCAAGCTTTTCAACCCAATTCAGGACGTGGCGATGTGGTGTGCAGCCTAAGATCAATTGATCAGCGAGATTGATCACGTGAGATTTGAAAAGGCACCAAAGAAACAACGACCTGCTATGAATGTCGGCGTTGCGTTCTCAAATGGCTCAGCCCAGTTGAAAAACCATTCGAAGTGAACTTCAACTGTGTCTGAAAACGGGAACTCCCCAATCTATGATATCTATGGCCATGGCCATGGGGGATGATTTTATTCACCATGATAAACCAGTGGAATTGGGAAAGGGCACTATTTTGTCATGATAAACCATGATAAGCCATGATAAACCAGTTGGAATTTTCAGACAAACCATGACAAACCCAACTGGCGTCGTTTCCAATGTTTGAACCAGCGCTCCACCGTCAACGTTGTAGCGAGAACGATCGAACGACGGCGCATTTTTTTCGGATTCCAGGCTCCACCGGGAACCACCGTTCAACAAATGACGCGAGAACATAGAGCATACGACATGGAACCATGAACAAACCCATTAATGCTCTATGTATGGTATATTTACCTACAAAACTGTACCATTTTTGGGGTAAATGTAGGTAAATATTCCAGCACCATGGAGCATTTGGGAAATACAACAACAATGAACTTGACGAAGCCAAAAAGATCAGTGACGAACCCGGAAATCCGCGGTGAATTCTGAATCCGAAACTGGGGATGAATCCATGGCTACTATGGCAGCATCAGTTGCATCCCCATGGGGACATCGCTATTTTTGCTGATACTAACGTTGATACATTTGTTGCTCATCGTTGATGGTTTTATATGGTTTTTATGCTAATATATGATATGTAAATGATACTGAATGTTTTAGTATGCTTTAGTCTGTTCATTGTCGTGGAAGCTATACTTTTGACAGTTGATGGTTGGATCTCCCTATTGATGGTTTGTTCGCAACCTTTGCCATATGTTTTGATTGTGAACGTGTTGGATGGTTGGATCATATCATATCGTATCCCAAATTCAGTATAGATCTGAAATCCTAATGAAAACCTAATGCTGAGAATGGTGACCATAACCTTTGAAAACCCCGCTCGCGGTTCAGTCACAAAAACGGGATTTCAAGAACAACATCACTATGTAATTGGCTGAAAAAGGTTGGATCTTCAAGTGATTAATTATATGTTATTATTTAACATAGCCATGGAAAATCACAATTTTTAATAGATAAACCATCTATAAATGGACCATTTTCCATGGCTATGTTAAATATCCAGAGGGTATATATGTTATTTTGATTGTTACGGGAACCCCAAAATCCCATTGCATATCATCATTTTCCCCACTGTCCCCTAAAAATCATTAAATATTGGGGCCTGTTCCCTACGGCCTGTTCCGACTTCAGACACACCTCCGACAGTGAAATGCGAACGTGTTTTTCATTGAAGAGGGTTGCTAAAGATCCGCAATATGGATCCTTTATAGACCTTATTGTCTCAGTCACATAGATGAGGAAGTGTTGGATTGCAACCATACAGAGGACCTTATCATTGACCTTTTCAATCCGTAATCATTTAAACATAACGTTACAGAATTTGGACCGTTTGGCCGTTATTTTGTACTAACTGCATCATTTCCGCTGGATTTATACCTATCGTTCGTAAACTTGATCAACTCATATATAGATTCCTTTCTTTATAACTCCTTATCATAGATGTTCTCCTTCAATCCAGATGTATCCAGATATATAATCCCCAAAAAATATCAGTTCCAACAAAAATCACATCATTGTCAGTTATCCCCATCCAAACTATGATCAGTATGATCTCAATTTATTTCCCATAGTTATTATCATCCCCCAAAAGTGATCAGTTCCAACAAAAATCATCATATATTTTCATATATTTTCATATATTTTCCATAATCTATATAATCCGAATATCCCCAATTATATCCAATTGTATCCCCATCCATAATCTGGATCTACAGCATATCTCCCCCAATTTTTTCTTAAGTTAATCCCCTCAGTTTCAGAATTTCAGGCCAGTGGTGCCACCATCCACCCATCTCTGCGGAAAAGCTTCACCGCGGCCGGTGCCGGCCTCGTGGTGCGCCGTGCGGTGCTGCAAGGGCAATGCCTCCTGCGGGTCGGGGCACCGAGGGCAAAGAAGCACGGCCCTAAGGTCAGCCTGACCTGACCGGAATCCTACGGAAAAAATCCGGGGGTTTCCATAGTCATGGGGGTACCCCAAGCTCGCTGGATGGTTTATTTCATGGAAATCTTGCTAAAAATGGATGATTTTAGGGGTACCTCCATGACTATGGAAAGCTCCATATGATGAATGAGACCCTCCGGTAGCGTGACATATAGCTATGGAAAATCACAATTTTTAAGAGGTAAATCAACTATAAGTAGTAATTTTCAATCTTAACTTATGCTATGTTAAATTACCAGTGGGTGTATCATGATAATCCATGATAATCCCTAATACTAACCACCCATACATAATTAAAGGGATAATCATGATTATGATACATGAATAGATATGATTAAAATTGTGTATTTCAAAATCGATATGATGAATGATACCCTCCGTAAACTAACAGTTTGCTATGGAAAATCACCATTATTTGGGGGTAAATCAACGAACTAAATAACCATGTTCAATAGCTATGTTAAATTACCAGAGGGTATATGATCATAATCCATGATTAATCCATGATAATCCCTAATACTAACCCCCCAATACAATAAAGATCCGGAGTATTTTTTAGTATTAGTGGATATTTATATAATATTAGGCTGCGAAGCTTCCCCCTTATACTAAATTTTAAAATTGATTAGATTCCTTTAACAATCTAATTGCGATATTGCCAACAATTGGATTTCGAGCGTTCCCTTAATATTCGATCCAAAACCTTAATTGGACAACTAAAATTTTCGATTTCAAAATCGATCGAAATCATTTTTTGAATTTCATTGAACTATTGCCAACAATTGGATTTCGAAGGTGCCCCTAACATCTCAATTAAAAAAACAACATTGATCATTTTTTTAAAATATGATTGAAACATTGCCAAAAATTGGATTTCGAAGGTTCCCCCAATATCAAATTGAAAATCTTAATTATAAAAACTGACATTTTCGATTTTAAAGGATGGACCCTAATCAAAAAATTGGGTGTTGACTAGTAGTTGTTATTATTAACGGGTGAAACCCTGAAATGGGACATTGTTTTCTAAAGGGGATCAATGAAACATCAGATTGGTCTGAAATTTCCCAAAAGTGAAAATGGACCCTAGTTTTAATATTTGGGGTACGTTTAGTCATTTAATATTTGGGGTACGTTTACTAATAGGGAGAAGGGACTATATGGGTTTGGTACATGATTTTTTTGGGGAAGGCACCAACAATCCACAGGCACCAACAATCCACTGATCTGTCATCATTTGCAGCGTCAAAATCGGACTTTGGGAGATATACCCCATTTTGAACCGCCATAAATGCAGCCATAGGCTGGCTAGGTGGTTTAAAATTGGAAGGGATAGCATTGAAATATGATGTATCAACCCGGGATAGATGCTTGATGTGATAGGTCACGGCGGCAAATTGCCAATCAAAAGATGGACCATATGTCAATAGATTATTTTTGCTTTGCATCATATGTCATCATATATGGTGAAACATCATCATATATGGTGATATATATGGTGATTTCAATGCATGTTTTCCCAAAGATTTCACGTTTTTTTAAATGGTGAAAAAACATAAAAAAACATGTGATTTCAATGGGAATAACAGAATAACATATATAATATGATCAATGAGAGATCTTCAGGATCCTAAAATAGAGGTACGTTAGTACCATATTTCTGGCCATATTCTCTGGGGATATTCACTTACATAGGCCTTATATAGGCCTTATATATGGTAGGTACCTCCATTTTAGGATCCTGAAATTCCCATTGATATGATTATGGTTGGTTTCACCACCCAACCCCCCAAGAAACTACACATGGGACAAGGTTCCGCGCTCGGCGGTTCTGTCCGGACACTTGGCGTCCTGGACCCAGACGATGTTTGACCGGGTTTATTTTGATTCCAAAAGAATGGAGGTGGACTAAGAATCAAAAAACATCAAAAAACATCAAACATCAAAAAACAAAAAAACATGAAAAAACAATCAACAAACATCAACAAGGTTCTCATGTGGCGCTGGGGATCTTCATCGCAGAGGTGTTGGCCGCTGGAAATCCGTTTGTTAAAACCTTGCTGGCACCAACCGGAAAGCGCAGAAAACGATGAAACCAAACCCGTTAAACCCGTTGTTTGCAAAGTGGACGTTCCGAATCTGTGGATCCTTACGCGCATGCAGAACGCCTGACAAAGTGAGCGGACTATGATTCCGTGATCCAGCATGGACTGAAGCACCTCAAGCACTTTGTCGTGCGAGCATTCAACTCATACACAATCATTTTCCCTGTAAAATGTCATTTAATGCTCAAGATAAAACCTGCATGAACAAAAGGGAAAAAACAGATCCCGGAGGCGCCATGACCGAGAAAAATGTTGAGGCAAGACCTTCTACAAGCGCCATCGCTGGAACCAGACGTCGCTCTTTGCACCTTGTTGGCGGAGGCTCGGCGCTGTGCGGAACAAGGCGCGGCCAGAAAACGTGAAGGCGAAGCGCGAACCTGCGAGCGGATCTTTCGGCGAAGAAATGCTGCGGCAAAACCCTCAAACCAATCACACATAATCACAAATATACAAACATACCCACCCTTTTCCAGCCATTTCCCGTCTCCCAATCTGAGGTTTAAGCGTGTGAACGCCTGTGTGCGGCATATTTTTTTTTCTGGCAAACATCCGTGGCTGAAATTTGGGAACGTTGCCGTTGGGCCCTTGGGGTGCTGGGTTTGATTTTGTTTCGTTCGAAAAGTCCCTTGATGTTATCCATTGCATTTTGGACATAGTATGGACAGATTTAAATGCGGCATTCAAAATTGAGGCCAGGTTAGGCTCCATCCTTTGGAATTCGCGAACGGTTAGCCAACAAAAAACGCAAACACCATATGAGCAAAAACCTAAAAGGTTCATGCAAAAACTTCTACTTGAGAGGTCCCATGGTTGAAAATGAGTCGCAAACCATGGAAAGCGATATGGAGAACTACTGCAAGCGATAAGTTGAAAGGTGTTGTTGTTGTGGGCGGCAACCATGTGGGATTGTATAGTAACCTGATATGCATTGTTTCGTTTTAGCATTGTATGCATTGTTCTAGTATTCGTCGGTGTGAATCCGGGGGCTCCCAAAAGGCTTAACGGTGCCCCCAAAAGGCCTTGGAGTACGCACTTCTGACCACAGAACTTGCTGCCAGAACCTGTCACGACACAGGCTCTGGAAAGCAGTGACTGTGCTTGAGAAACAATGACCAGATGAAATTATCGGTAACCAAATCGATAACGTAGCGACAACCAAAAATTGACAAAAGGGGCCTCGGGCAGCCAGAGATCCAATCCATCCCTTGAGTGGCGCACTTCAGTTTTGCATCAATATATTCATTGCGACCGCACCGGAGGCCGTTTAAAATTTCTGGCCCAGTTGACCCAGTTGATTTCATAGTCAACTGGGTTAACTGGGTCAACTGGGTTACTTGGGTCAACGGTCAGCTACATCAAATGTGTTAATTGAATCCACTTGGTTCAACTGGGTCCATTGGACCCACTGGACCCATTCGGTCAACGAGTTCAACTGGATCATCTGGGCCAACAATTGGATGGATCGACCATTTTTATACGACCATGGTGGCCATAAGCACGCTTAACGCTACCATGGCATAAACATCCTTTGTACGTAAAACAAATACAAATTAGATCACTTATGAATTGAATATTCGCATAATCATAGCATTTTCTTCCTATTAACATAAGATACAGGCCCATGGTGGCTCCAAGCACCCTTGAGGCCACCAAAATGACTTTGGTACGTCACATTAAAACAAACAGAACATTTAATGCATTGAAAACGAACAATAAAACATAGCAATTATTTTTGTTTGATTTTTTCATATATTGTTGCTCCAATCCCACCAGTTCAAGCAACATAAAAAAACACCATGCCTACGATAGTTTTATTCACTCATAAGGCCACCATGACAAAAATGACCATTGCATGTACGATTGACAGAAATCAAACCACTAATGCATTAAAAAATGACATAGTCATGGCAATTAAAAAAAATACACTAGTTGCTTCAGCCCCAGTATTTGAAGCCATAACATCCCAAAACTATGGTAATTCAAATCAATTTTAAAGCCACCATCGCAGTACCTGTACCAAAAAAACAAATCCATGGTGGCCGCAAAAACACAAGGCGGCGGCGCGGTCTGCGGCCTTGAACGTGTTTACCGTTGCTTTCTGCAGTTCACGATGCGAAACTTATTTTTTCATGTTTGCACATGTAAATCTGAAATTTCGATGTCCATTTCGCGCTGTAATGGTTGTGAGTTTACTTCAAAGTTTATCATTGCAGTAACAAGAGATGGAAAGGAAATGAAATGATATGATATGATATGATGTGATATGGTATGGTATGGTATGGCATGGTATGGTGTGATATGATGTGATATGATATGATTCGATATGATATGACATGACATGATATGATATGGTATGGTATGGCATGATATGATGTGATACGATATGGTATGATATGATTTGATGTGATATGATATGGTATGATGTGATATGATATGTTGACGCTGAACCGTTAAAAAAAATCCGCTCGTCAGCTTGTGCTGGCGTCAATGAAAATATGCCAATAAGATCAAGAGCGTGTGTCAAGTAATAGTAGAAAGTGGACGCCGTAGCATCAAAAGTATTGACAGCGTAGCATCCAGAGAGTGTGGCAAGTCTGGCCTCAACAAACGTAATCCTTAACCCTTAGACATGTTACGGATTACCAAATTTTCGGATTATGTGATTTGGACGGATTACGGATTGAAAGCCACAACCCCCGTAAAGGATGATGACCGGAATGCTGATTTGAGGAAGTTTTCCTCGGGTTTCGTTTGTGAGTCTGGTGTTTGGATTCGTTTTTGCAATCTATCAGAGCTCATTTTGGCTCCTCTGTGTTTTGGTTTTCTCTTTCCTTCTTGAGCGCACTGCCTTGCACGTCTGGGTTGCAACAGCGTAGCCACCTTTGCGGCCTGGGTCGAGGAACAACTGAGTGTACCTGCTGCTAGCCGCAACCCCCAAAAGTTGCAATTTCCGAGATTTAGCTATTCGGGTGTTGTGGGAACCTTCTACCTGTGTTCTGGACGCACATGGAATAAATACATCTAGAGGCAGGTGAGTGAGGAACCAAACCCAGTGTGCCCCCTTAGCCAAAGCTGCCAGCCACAACCCCCAAAAGTTGCAAATTCCCGAGATTTGGCTCTGCGGGGGTTGTGGAAACTGTCTACCGGTCTTCTGGACGCAAATGAAATAAATACATCTAGAAGCACGTGAATGAGGAACCCAGTGTACCTTGCAACAACAGCTGCCAACCACAACGCCAAAAAATTGCAAATTCCCGAGGTTTAGCTATTCGGGGGCTGTGGCAGTTCGCCTGACTCCTGAGCATTTTACATAATTTTTATTAGATGCAGGTTACAAGGTCCCAAGTGGAAATTACAAGGGCTGGACAGGAGGCGCCTGCACGTGCTTCAGACGAACAGCTGCTTCCTCTCAGATGATGCACTTCCTTCTGCTGACCATGCTGCCTCATCTGGCCGTGGGTAAGGCAGAAAACAACCTCTACAGCCTACCTCATTGCTCGCCAAACAACAACCCCCAAAAATTGGAAATTCTACACGTTTACCTCTTCGGGGGTTATGGGAACCCGTGTGCTACGCAAAATGCGCGCGCAAACGAAAAGGTTCACAGGGTAAGGTTTCAGAGGTTGTGAACGGATTGCGGATTACACCGGTTTACGGACAATTCGGATTGAACCCTTTTTTCCGCATCAGCAGCGTCACTGATTAGTTTTACAAGCGCGCACACTTTGATGAACCCAGCAAGTGTCACTGGACAGTTGACAGCGTAGCATCAAGAACGTGTGGCAAGTAACACGGTGAAATTGGCAACGGAGCAGCAGGAAGGTGTGGCAAATAACACAAGAATTTTGACGGCATAACATCATGAACGTTTGGCAAGTAACACGAGGAAATTGACTTCGTAGCATCAACGGCGCGTAACAAATAACAAAGGTACCTTGACAGCGTAGCTTCAAGAATGTGTGGCAAATAACAGGGGCAACTTGACAGTGTAGCATCAAGAATGTGTCCGAAAATTCGGAATTATTGCACGTTTCCCGTGTTCCCAGCTATTCCCCAACCCCATCCAGTTCTGTAAGAAAATCAAAGAATCCTTCGGGCCCAACAGTTGAATGACGTGCAAACATTTTACCCGACGTGCAGAAGTGACAACTGACGCACACAAATCCCAAAAAACATCCGGAACTATTCACTGGGTAAAAGTTTTAACCGACATTTTTTCAAAATTAGACAACACCGGAAACCAGCATTCAAAGCGATTTCTGTGCGTCAGTCCAAAACAAATGAAACTATTAATGCAATGGAACTCCACAAAATCATAGCAGTGAATCAATATACTTTATTCCCATAGCGTGCTGCGTCAATCCCAATACTTGGAAAACCATATCAATAGATGTCAAGAGTAGCCCCATCATTCCATTTCCTGGTGTAGGACAGGAAATGAACGCCCATGGTGGCCCTAAACACGCCAAACCCTACCATGATGAAATTATTTTCCTAATTACGTTCAATTCATACAAATTAGACCATCTATGCGTTGGAGATCCAAAAAGAGTCTTAACGTTGAAATAAATATGCATTAAACAAACTTATTCCCCAATCCCACTGTTTCAATCCCAATGCGTGAAACAACATCAAAATCTTAATGCTTGTAAATCATGGGCCATCATCGCATTACTGGTAGTATGGGAAATCCGTCCATGGTGGCCCTTAGCACGCCTGAGGGCCCATGACTTAAACAACCTTTGCACATCGCCATTGCTATTTCCAAGCTCTGGGGGGGGGTAACGACTTAAGTGACCATCATTTTCCTGATAGAATTTTTCAAGTAGCCATTGGTTCAACATTTTCCTGACCAAGGCCCCTCGGTCGGACAACTTGATGATGATCTAATTGTGCTGACCATTTTTTAGAGGGATACGGGTATAGAAAAACTGAAAAGAAATTACGTCGAACTTTTTTTCGAATGTTTCCTGGGCCAATCTTGGGGAGTGCTTCACAGGGCCACACACCCAAGGCCAAGTTGAACCTTCTATTCCACTTTATTGCCTAGACAGTTGCTAGGTTGTTATCTGGAGGGAAATTGATTGTGCCAGGCATTTTTTGGAAAATATTTTTGGATGTCCAGGGAAAATTTTAATTCACCATAATTTATCGAAGTTTGGTTGCAGTGTGAATATTTTTTCCAATTTTCCACTCCAAAATCGTGCAGGCGGAACTTCGGGATCCATTCGGTTACGCCAAAATCTTTAGGTGCCAAAATTTTTGGAAAAAAAACAAGTGCACGATATTCTCTGAATGAGGTGTGAGCCAAACAGAAACACTAGCATTTTGGATCATTTTGGG